ATAATCAAATTGTGTTTATATGGATGAATGAATGTCATGTATTGGTATGATTTGATTGTTTCGAATCAAGCATCCGGAAAAAATAAATCCGTAATATGATAAAATTGGAGACGGAAAAAAAATTCTATTTACATTCACAAATATATGTCTACCTACCTATTTTTTGTGTGACTATACATGTGTTTACCAAAATGATAAAACAAAAATTATCATTGTTTAATCGATTGAATGATTTTTTTGTCATTATAATTGGTGTTCATTTTTGTTTTGTTTTCAGCCAATGAAAATGAAGATGATGATGATGATGAAAAATCTACAACTGCATTTTTTGGGGTCTCTACCGTCTCTGAAAAAAATAACAAACATCAATAATCGACCAAGTGGAAATTCTAAAACTAGAAAAGATTAAAGCCAATTTTCTCCTCTTATTTTCCTGATCGATTGTGAAACGACATTTTTTTCAAATCGATCCGATCATATGATGTACGTGATATTCAAACACACGACAATTGATTGCCATTATTATTGTGTGGTATATTAAGCTCATAATGTTTATTTTTTGTGTGATTGGATGCAAAGTTTTTTTTTCTTCATCCTATGTGATTTCTGATCGATGACATTTTTTTGGCTAGTTAACATTAAGTACTTATTTTTTCAGTGTCCGAAAAACAAAACTTTGTCAAATACATAGACAGTACAATTTATAGATTGATTAATCTTGCACGAGTTGTAGATCAGTAATATTGCAAAAACTAACGAGGCATGAAAAAAGAAAACAGTAAGAAAATCGAAAACTGATCGATGCTTATGATGACGAGGATTAGACCAAGGGCAAATGTTTGTTCCATAAATTTGGGAATATTTTTTTTCTTTTACTCGGAAAGAGAGCGATAAACAATGACTACGTGATTTCCGAATTTATTTATTCTTTTTATTAAAGTATAAATTCCAGTGATTAAACTAAACATTACATACATTGAAGGAAATGTTGCACAACTTAATTCACTATCACCATATAATTATTAATTAAATTAATTAATGTTAAAAATTAGAACCCTTTGAAGAGAGAGAATGTTAAAGAAAAAAATTCGGATCGAAAATTCTTAATTTATCTCAAAGAAAATGCTGAACGGAAATAGAATCGTCTTGTTATTGTTGTTATCAAAAAAGAATGAAAATTCTGATGAGCAATTAAATTCAAAAAAAAACACGAAAGTTGAGATATAATTGTGGATTTAAAATTCTGTTCAATTATTTTCATTCTTTTTTCAGAAATTTCTTAAATTTTATTTAACGAATTATATTCTTGCCACCACAATTTTACGTAATAATACAGATCAATTCTATATTCATTTCATATGTAGAATTCTGTTTTTCTCTCTTTTTTGGATTTTCTTATCATGATAAGAATTTCAAAGAAAATTCTCATTTTGTATGATGTGAATATCTATTCTTTCTTTTTTTTATCATTTAATTATCATAATCATTAGAGAAGTGAATAAATTTTAATGGCATATCATTAAACCTGGACCTGAATGGTTGTTGTTGGTGGTTGATTGGAGCCACAAGGGAAAATATTACACAAACACACACACATTAAAAATAATAATCAACCATGAATTGAATGAAATGAACTGGGGTCAATACGTGAGAGTAAAGCCACCAAGAATGGCATAAAAAGAGTGAGAAAGGAAAAAAGGACCATGTAAAAATGTTTAGAATCTCCATGGATCCTTTTTTTTAATTTTATTTACTTGCCATCATCAATTGATTCTGACAATAGCATTTGATTTGTCTGAAACAAACATACAAGAAGGGTAATGAACACCGAGTGTGTAAAAGCGAAATGAGAGAATTTAATCAATTTCTACTAGACTACCATATATAGTCAAATCGATTGATAAAAACAAATGAACGAATGAGAAATTCTATTAGATTTTATTTGATTGTTTTGTTTTGTCATGAATTAAATAAATCTTTGCTTCGGTCATTCATTATTCTGCCACATACTATAATCAACAAAATGAAAAGAAAAATTTCATTGGAAAACTGACTGATTGAATAAATGCATCATTCAATTTTAAATTGAACAAAACAATGCAAAAAAAAAACGGAAACCATTCTGTTTCTATCTATAACGTTGAACGTTTGTCACAAAAATCTTGTACATCAGCAAAAAAAACCTTTGATGGAATAAAAAAATAAAAATCAAGCCCTAATAGTTTCCAGTTTTCCAGTTGGAAATGATAATCAATTTGTTTCATTCCAATTTCAAATGGGGTATTTTTGTATTTATGTTTATGTTTATGTGTCTTTGTGATTCATGAGAAAAAGATGCTTTTGCAAACAACAACAGAAAAATTATTCTAAATAGATTCTCGTCATTTTGGATCCGATAATTCCCTTTTCGTTTATCGTATCCATCAAAAAAAAATCTTGTTGTAAAACACATAGAATATTCATTCAAGGCCATTATGGAATATTTTTTCTCTCCATTATTTTGAACGAGAATACTACTGTACTACCCTATCCTTCTCTTGGGATTTTTTGTTTTGTTTTTGTTTTCATCATCATTATCATCTTCAAACTTTTTGTGAATGAATAAACAAAAATAATAAAAACAATAATAATAGAAAAAACTGAAATGTTTTGCAATCAAAAAATTTTTAATGTTTTTTTTCAAGAATAACTCTCTTTTTTCAAAGCGGATATGAATTACGTAATTTTTTAGTTTTCAAACTCATTTCACATTTGGTACGTATGTACTTTATTTATTTGTGCCACACACACCTACACACTCAGAAAGAGAAAGAGAAAAAGTTCCGTATCATCAATCACTTTACATCACAAATACCGTTTTTTATTGATCCGTTTGTATAATGTGACGGATTTTTTTCTCTAAATAAAAATTTTTTCCATACAGCAACTATTTTTCATTTTTTTTGTATAAGATGCGTCTTATTTTAAAGTTTTACCGTAAATGCTAAATTAATTACGAAATTGATCATGACCAAAAACCTGTTTGCTTTTTATTTTTTAAGGTCTTTCCATTACGATTCTTGATCTAGGCTAGCACAAAAATTTTTTATTTTCCCTTTTGCTTGTTGATCAGATTATTTGAATTTTCGAAAGAGAAAGTTTGCCATATTTTCCTAAGGCTAGCCATTACATCATAATGATCTTTTTGAAGATTAGTGATCATGTCATTGTTTGTATGTGAATGTGGAATTACGAAAACAACCAAATAAATTAAGAAAGTTTTTTTAAGAAAAATTAAATAATCGGGGATATTAAAAAATCTCATCATCACCCTATGAAGAATTCTTTTCTTCTTGTTTTTTGACATCATAATTAGATACGTCAAATCCGCATTAAAGCAATAACGACAACAACAACGACGACGACGAAGACAAAAATAAAGGGTAAAAAATTCTGTTTACATTAACCTTTTTTGTTTTCAAAACTTTTTTGTCCCTCGCTCATTATTGTTGTTTTTTCTGCAAAGCCATTGTCATCATCATTATGTAAGATTAGGAATCATCATCAAACAAAAAAGATTCCTTTAAAATTCCTAGAAAAATAAGATCATGAATTCATTGGATTGTTTTTTTTGAACAATCTCAAGTATCGTTTGATGAATTTTTGTATGATTGTATTTTTCCATCATCATTCGATTACGGTTATTACTTAAACACACACACACACACACAAAAGTCATCAGAAAAGAAAACAAAATCTGTGCCCATAGTCAGGGAATGTTTTTTTGTTTTGTTTTACCAATCTGGATTATTACCCCCAAAATTGTGAAATGAAATGTGAAAACAAACAAAAATCAATTTAACAGTTTAAGTACTTATATGTCATCAATATATGGGTGACAGCTATTTCTATTTTTACTATTTGAAATAATAATGTATTTTATTATTATTTTATACTAGAAAACTATGTTCTCAAAATGTTAGCCAGCCAGTATCAGTCAATCATCATGTGATGTGATTGTTTTTTTGTTTTGAATGTGTGTACCACACGCTATAAACACATCAAGGATTATTATAGCCACTTTTATATGTATGTGCTGCTATACATTCGTTGTGATTTTTTCGGTAATTTTTTTCTTCATTGATCATCATACAATGAAACAAAATAAAAAAAATAAAAAAATTCCCGTACAAAAAAAAATTTACAATAATCCGAATGATGGCTATAAATGATTTTTTCATCTTTTTTTCAAATCTTGATGTTGGAATTTTTTATTTTTATTCTGCTTTCGATGTATGTATTTATACAAAAGGCATAAATTATTAAGGTGTTGTTGTTGTACACTTGTACATAACACTACCATATGACGTTGATGTAATGGTTTGCATTGAGAACTAAAGTTTTTCTTTTTCTCTTACTTTTAAATGATTCGTTACGATTCGTTTCACACATCTTATGTTTATGAATATATTTTTTTTTGTTGTTCCACTTCAAAGAAGAAATAAATTCATTCAAATTATGCACGCACTTTTTTCTTGGCTTTGACTTTTACTTTTTTTCTCTCTTTCCCATATTCTTGATGAATATTTATCCTTGTTATCCCATGTTTTTTTTTTCCATTTAATGTCATTATGTTTATTGTTTTTTTGCACTATTCATTATTATTTTCATTCCATTCTTTTAAATAGGTTTTTCCCTGGTTTTGTTATTTAATGATGAAAAAGTCGACTTTGATGATGATAATGGTGTGGATTAGAAATAATATTACAGAATTTCGACCGAAAAAAATAAAAGTAACGTGAAAAATACTACGAATTCTAGTGCTTGTCTTATAAGGATGATCATTTTAAAACAACAATAATGACATTGATGATTTTGATCATCCTCATAAGATATTAGGAACATGTCATTATTCTAATATATATTGAGAAAAAAATAATTGAAGAGCCTGCTTAACACGATATTTTTTCATATCCGATGATTATTTATTGATGATGCCAATATAATGATGATGTGTATACTATAAAGGTTTTGTAATTTATTAATTTTTTTCCTCAAATCGTACGTTTACATTTGTGATTATCCAAGGACATGATGACAATTTTTTCTTTGATTATCTAGATGAATCGTACAACGGTGCAACAGCAACAACAACAATCAACGAATAGCATTCAATCATTCTTATTTTTATTTTTCGATTATAATGTCATCACCATCGACGCATCATTATTACCATCAACATCATCATCATTATCATACTCATCTAAAACATTGGCCACAGGATTTAAATTATCATCCATTATCAATATGGTCTACGGCTAATAATTTATTTATTAAACTTCATAATGATCATTTGAATATTGATCAAAAACAACCACAATCATTGTCGATGGCAATACCAACGCCAACAACGGCAACAATAATGCCAATTTTTTATGAAGATGATTATTACAATCATTCTTCATCAACTGCAACAAGAACAGAATCTTTGGCAACAACAGAATCATCATCATCACTATCATCGTCATCATTATCGTTGGTAGCCATATTAACATTGGATACAATACTAACATTAATATTACCATATTCAATCATATTTATATTGTCTATTGTTGGCAATTTACTTGTGATAATCACACTTACATTGGATCGTTCAATGCGTTCAGTTACAAATATATTTTTACTCAATTTGGCCATTTCTGATCTACTATTGGGTGTTTTCTGTATGCCATTCACATTGGTCGGTGTTCTATTACGTCGATTCATATTTGGAGCTTTTGTGTGCCATATGATTTCATATTTTCAAGGTAAAAGAAAAAACAACATCAATAACATTTGAAAGATCATTTTTTATGAAAAAAAAAAAATATTAATCTCTTACTATTTTTTCTCTTTTTGTTTTTGTTGTTGATGTTTGTTTGTTTGTTCATGTATTTTCTGGAATTTCGGTACCCATTTCTTTTATAAATTTGGCATTACTATCGTGTTTACACACACACATAGCTGTTTCTGTAGCCGTATCTGTATGGACATTGGTATCTATGTCGATTGAACGTTATTATGCCATTTGTCATCCATTTCGATCAAGAGAATCAAGACAAACAAAAAAACATGCTTATCGTATATTGGCAATGGTATGGACATTGGCATTCATAACAATGTCACCAACGGCCATTGTAAGCAAACTACAACAAACTAATCAAACAGGTAATTATTATTGGATCTATCCCATATTGTAAATAAACGAAAATAGCAAAAAAGAACAAGTTAGCAAATAAAGAATGAATTATTTATATCATACCAACACACACACACACACACACACATATAGAAGAGAATCTCCAATGCTAAGAATAAAAAATCAACCATTCAAGGTTACAAGGTTTAATATCATGTAATTAATCAGGCTCAATAGGCTGAGTACACACCTTTTTACTATTAATTCAATCAGTCCAAATAGAATACAGTAATACAATGAAAATAAACACACATAGCACTTGTAAAGAGAATAAATTTTCATTACCAATTTCTTATTTGTTACGAAATCAAAGAAAAAACAAACTAATTTATTCTTTTTTTTCTATTTATATATAGGACATTATAAATGTCGTGAAGCATGGCCATCATTTTTGCATAAACAAGTGTTCACATTATTCTTGGATTTTATTCTATTGATCATTCCATTAATTATAATGATAATGACTTATAGTTCAATCGCATTGACATTACGAAATAGTGTTTCAGTTAAAAAACAACAACAGACCCAGACCAATGGAGATAATCATAATCATCAACAACAAAAACAATTAGGCCAAACCAAACATTTACAAATGTCGATTGCAATGACTACAATGAAGAATAAAAGCTCAAGTAAGTGAAAAATTTCGGAATTGAAACATTTTTCAACTATATAATATTCATATTAATATTCAAGAAGCGTACAGATTCATAGAATTTAAGTTTTTTCATTCATTCATTCATTCATTTTTTTTTATTTTCAATTTCAATTAGGCTATAGCTACAAGACCACTTCAATTCATCAACAACAAGATAATTGTAGCCTAACTGATTTGATTGATGCTGATAATACTAGTAACAATATTCGATGCCAAAAGTTTCAATCTAATCAGAATGGCAATCACATGTCTGACAATAACCATTCATACGACAAACGACAATCTAATCGATTTGAAATTGACCAAAATATAGCTGAAACAGTTATATCGCCAACAACAGCCGCATTATTGTTGAATCGATCATCGAGTAATCATCGTGTTCAATCACCAATCATCAATAATGGTCTATCATCATCTTTGGAACATTGTGGATCCGGTAGCAGTGTACAATTTGCCAATAATCGAGCCATATTACTTGTGGCCAATACCAGCTCTCATTCATACCATGGCACATCAAGACAACGGCGGATTATAATCATGTTATTTGTTGTTGTCATTGAATTTTTCATTTGCTGGTCACCAATATTTCTATTGGATACTATGGCCTTATATCGGCCAGAATTAGTATATGGTACAAGTCAAAAAGTTTCACGTTGGATTGGTATCGATATCATTTCTGTTTGTCATTTATTATGTTTTTGTTCCACCTGTAATAATCCAATCACATACTGTTTTATGAACAAACGTTTTCGTGATCATTTTTTTTCGTTATTTCGTTGTCGCGCAGCAATGCCAGTTAACATAAATAATCCAAGTTCCATACAGCAGCCAAATGAAATCAAAGCCTAATATACACTACTACTCATTACGTATGGAGTCATTTATGTATGATTATGATTGAAACACAAGCACATCTTTTTCTAAATAAAAATTCAATTTAATGATTGGAATTACCAAAAGCAATTCATTTGACCATTTTAAATAAGAAATTGCTATTGATTTTTTTTTATTATACCCGTAGTGCCATCTCTTATTAAATAAAATATATTAATTGAATTTGGCGCCATCTATTGACGGAAATTAAAACTACAAACCTGAGCATTCAACAGGTGGCCGATACTAACGCCCTCTATATTGCTCATTTTTTTCTACAATCAGGCTAAAATGAGCAATATAGATGGCGTTAGTATTGGCCACCTGTTGAATGCTCAGGTTTGTAGTTTTAATTTCCGTCAATAGATGGCAGCACTAGTTTCAAAAATGAAATTTTTAAAGATTCATTGTCACCACGGTTATGAAATTGATAGCAATTGATTATTTAGAATGTGTTATTGATGTTTATTTTGAATTTTGTAGATAACTTGTGATATACTTTTTCATTCTTTATTTACAGTGTGTTATTGCAATTTATTTGGATTTGTTTAATCAATATAATATGCTATATAAAATAATATCATGGAATAAAGCTCAGTTGGCTTTCTAGATTCGTATTGGACCAATGGCCAGCTTGACGTCGAAAATCTCTGGTATTTGGCCTTATTAATGATTGAATAGGACTCGCTTTAGAATTTGCCATTTTAGTCGAATGACCATTGATTTTATCAGCACTTATGAAGGAATTCGGATTTTTGCCACGAACCATTGAAATATCAGATTGTTGCATTATTGGATCATAACTTGATTGAATCCACGTGCTTTGATAATCGTGTACATTGTTGAAGTTCTGGCTATGATTGTATCCCAAAGGACTATGTTCAGCACTTGAATGGCAATCATATTCTTCCATTCCTTGTGACATGAATTCAAAGAAAGACAACAAGCGTGGCAACATAAAACATAGAAAAAATAAATATTAATTCAATTAAACATGAAGAAAATCAATTAAAAATCAGTTACCCGAATCCGATGATATACTAATGCCGTTGAGACCAAGTCCAGCCATTTTCGTTTCAAGTTGATGTTGGCTATTGGTAATGGCTTTCGATTTTGAATTCGTCTGTTTGCCAGGATGGCTAATGAAAAATGGTCTGATGAAATCGGTTGGATCATGTAACAGTTGTTTCTTTTGTTGTTGAATTTCATTATTTAAATTCGATTTCATTTGCAATTCGGAATGTCTCAATGGATGTGGTTTAATATTTTCATCATCATCATCATCGACAATAACAAATGCCGATGAATGTTCTCGACTCATTGTTTTATTCAGCTTATTACGTTGATGTTGTTGATGTTTGATCACGGATTTTGTTTTATTATTATGATTGTTAATTTTAACATTTTCCACAGCATGAGACATTAACATATTTCGTCTATTATCTTCATAATCATCACCATCATCATTCGTTTCAGTGATTTTCCCATTCGTTTGAGTCGAATTATCCAGGTTGTTGTTATTGTAGTTCTCTTTTTTTACGGTCTTGTGATTGTTCTCATGATGGTTATGGTAATTATTTATTTGTCTTATCCTATGTTGTTGATCGATTGGTGGCTTCAAATAGTGTTCATCATAATAATAACGATTATCAAAATTCTTTGGACCATTTTCCTTTGATTTTTGTTGACAATGTTGATGATCATTAGAAGGATAGGTATTGTTGCTCACATTTTGTGATTGTGGAAGAAAAATTCGACTTTTATTCTGAAAATATCGTCGACTTCCTCTTAATCGTTGACTACCCGTACGTAAACGATTCCAGAGACGATATCTATTTGATTTTTTACGCGAACTACCAAATATTGAATGCCAACTAAGTCGACGTATACGGCTAAAAAACGTTGGATCCGATGGACAACGTTGAGGTGGTGGTAGCCGTTGATTGTTGTTGTTTGTTGATTCTGTTGATTGTATAAGTAAACGTTCCTTATTATTATTGGTGAATGCATATGAGCTATTGTCATTATTATTGTTAAAATTTGTATGAAAATTTTTCAGGGTCATATCATCAAGAATGATATCATCATCAATAGTAGTAGTCATATTATTATTCTTAAAGCCAATGTCATCATTTTCGCACTGAAATTCGATACGAAATTTCCTTTTATGTTGTTCAATAGCTTGACAAAAGCTACAACATTTATCACAATTTTCTAGCTCCATTTGACATAGATCGCAACATTCAGCAACATTTGATGATGATGCTGATGCTGCTGCTGCAATCATTGTTGACCATGTTTCAACACGTGAACTTTTACTGAATCCTTTCACTCCTAAATTGGCACTATTATTATTATTATTATTTTGTTCTTTTGGTAAATAAAGTTTCAATGGACGATTACTGTTAAACGAATCTTTTCCATATAATCTACAAACATGAAAAAAAGAAAAAAAGTTATATCATAATAATCATTATTGTTATCAAAGTGTTCATTTACCTTGATGTTGTTGATAGCCTATCATTTTTCTGAGGTAATTCCGTTGTCGTTGTTGTTGATGTTTGTCTTTGAATGGCCAACTTGTCCAAGTTTGTTTCCTTATTGTTCCTGCTATTATTATTATTATGATTAACATTCTTCTTTTGAATTCGACCAGTAGATGAATCTTTACTCGATGATTCATCATCTTCATTATCCAAAAATATTGAATTCGATATGATTGATTGTTCATATGGAAGAATTTTTTCATTTCGTTTTTGTTGCGGTTGTGGTTGTTGTTGTTGTTGTTGTTGATGATGATGATGACGATGCTTTTTGACACGCATTGAATCACCAAAAAATGTTTGAAAAACTGCTAGTTCATCATCATCAAAATGATCATGTGTTGATGACAATAGATGGCTGTCATTATTGGTGTTCGTATTAGTGTTAGTTCGATTAGTTATTGATGATTGTTTTGCCTGTTATGATATACAGGAAAAGATTAGATTATGGAATTTGGATGGATTAAAATAAACCATATAATGGAATAAAACAAAGAATTTTTTATTTAATTATCATCATTATTTAGTTATATGATGATAAAGGTGTCAAAAAAACAAAATTTGATTCAACAGAAAGACAACTGTCGATGAGCAACGATAACTATCTTTTCCTCATCAACAACAAAGAATAAGTTGATTTAAAACGTACAAAAAAGCGAAATAAAAAGAGAAAGTGGTAAATTTTGAGAGTTTACATCACGATATTTCGTGATAACGATTTTTTCTGTTTTGTTTTGTTTCGTTTGTTGTGTGCCCGGTGGCCTTACTTTTTTTCTTGTTGTCGTTACGTCCTGCAATGAATATAAGTGATGATGATAATAAATACATACAAAAGATTTTAAAATTTAAAATGTTTTTCTGCTATAGCTATGACAGAGACAACGAAAAACGATAAATATTTTTGGAAAAAAACATTGGTTTTAGCTGGGCTTTATAATCATAATCATCATCATTATTCTTCCATCATTTTATCTTAAATATTGTATTATTTCCAAGTCTCTTTACCGGATCATAAAAACTGCTAATCGTAGCTAAAATAAAAGTGAAAATGCAATTCAATACAACACAACGTCATTCAAACTGAATGGGAACACAATAGAATGATAAAAAACGAAACGAGCAATAATTAAGGAAAAATACAAACGAAACTTTTTTTTTGTTATCGAAACAAACTACCTCTTAAAAAGAATTATGACTACATTACGTGATATCCTTGAAATGAATTGCCACCATTGTAATGAAATATCAGAAAAAAGATTGAATAGCAAAACAAGATATACACCTCAAAAAAACAATTGAAGGTCTTGGTCAATATGTGTCAATAATAATAATAACAATAATTGAAAAAATGAAAAAAAATTAAATGAACGAGTTATATATCGAATGAAGACAACAGATGATCATTGATCACGACATTTCAATTATAAATGGAATAAAATTGTGTAAATATGATGTGGTTATGGTTGAAAAGAATTTAAAAAAACCTGGTGTGAAATTCTTGAGATTTTATCATTTCAATTGAATTTAAATTTGTTCTATGGAAATGGAAAGAATTGTTTTGTACTTACAAACAATCGATTTTTTAGCAACTCATTTGTTGTACTACTAGTCAAATCATTTGTTGTTGCCCATTTGTTTGACCTTTTCAATGGCTGATTAATTTGATTAAGATTTTGTTGTTGATGCTGTTGATAATGATGTTGATGATGATGACTGACAAGGTTATGTTCGGATTTTGGTCGCTGCAGTTGATGATTACTTAATTTGGTTACATTTTTCTTGGATTTATTGCTAGAATTCGGTGTAGATGTACGGCTATCATTGATAACTATTGATTCATCATCATTAATGATTGCTGTAGGCTTGTATGATTCAAAACGATAATCACGTTGAGCAATCAAACCAGCATCATTTTGTTCATTATGGCCGTTTTGTTGTAATTTTTTCAAATTATTATTTAATAAAATTGATTTCGATGTATTACCACTACTACTCATAATTGATGATAATTCAGATGGGCAGCCAATGTTATAATCATTTTGATTGTTGTTGGTGGCGACCTTGTTGTCAACAACAATCATTCTTGTTGTTTGATCATACAATCTATGAAAAAAAAAATGAAACAAAATGGAACATTTTTGATTAATGATATATTTGATTAATATCAATCGACAACAAAAATATTTCTTCTTAAGGTCAAAAAAACGATATCGTTCTACAAGGGAAAAAATTAAATTCAGTGATACACAAATTTTGATTTGAATCAAACATTTGAATGGCAAAAAATGTATTAATAGGTGGCTATTAACACATACAAAGATTTTGCGATTGTATCAATTCATTTTTTTTGTGACTAAAATATATCTTTGTTAACTGATTTTCCTCTCTAAAAAATCACTACTACTTGAATTACGCCCAATGAGAATTCAAATTGTGGTTGTTCAATTTTTCACTTCACATCTATACATGATTATATAAGGCCTGACAAAAAAAATGGAAATTCGATTGCTGAGTATTTCCTATGTGCTTATTATTATCATCATTATGATTATTATAAGAATGACGTCAAAAATCTATTACATCTGAATCGAAAATATGCTGTGTGTGTGTGTTGTGTTTTCTTTAAATCATTTGTCATTATTCTTTCTATATGACAACAAACAAACAAATGAAAACATATTTCATACAAATAATTGAATGAATGGACGACGAATGGAAAAAATATTAATAATATACCTTGAATCACCACTACACTTGATCTTTGATTGGCCATTGTCGTTATCATTGTTCCTTGTTGCTGTTGTGGTCGAATTTTGTTGAATAATCTTGAAACCCATTGTTGTTGCTTGTCGAGGATTATTGTTATCAGCTATTTTTGATTGATAGTTGTCAATTAATTTTTTTACGTCATTTTCTCGATGAATATGACCATTGTGTACAATAAGATGATGATTATTATCAACAAAATCATCTTCACGTACTACTTCATCATCACCTTCTTCTTCAATATCAGAAAATTTAGGACGACTGATCGATGTTGATGATAATATTGATAATTCGGATTCAGTTTGACTTGGTGTATATGAACGTGTTATAATTGATGATGCTGATGTTGTTGTTGTCGATGATGATGGTATACGATGATGACGACTATTATTATTATTATTATAAGAATATTTACCCATTTGTCCAGCGGCTGGAATCTGTAAACGTCCAATAGTCGATGAACATTGTCTTAATTCATCCATGCGATTACACATATGAATAGCATCATTGGTTGTACCACAAACAAATAAATGACATTCTAATCGTTGATTGGAATTGATTTTTTGAAGGATACATACAAATAATGGTGGATGTGGTATACCTGTGTGTTAATTGTACAAAATAAAAAAAATTAAAATCGATTCGAATCATTGTCCCACACACACAAACATATAATGAAAAAACTTGATTTAAAATTGAAATTGAAATTTTTCCTGCCGTAGCTGTTGTTGTTATTTTATTCACAACAGAGAAAAAAAAAAAAATCCAAATTGGAAAACTAAGATTTGATGGACATCGATAAGTCTGAAAATTGAATGAATTGAATGACCATCATCGTCGACTATAAATGGACTTTTCGTTTCAACAAAATGTTTATTCGTCTGTATTGCTGTATCAAAAACTGAAAAACATTTGTCCTTTAAAAACATAAAAACGGGTCATCTTTTTCTGTTTTCTGGCAATACCGGCAATTTCAATGATATAGAAAAAATTAATGAATAACATTGTTGAATCTAGAAATACAGCCCTGGTTTTCAATATGAAAAAACCGAATATTTATCATGAGAATATCACTCTTTTTTTTCATCATTAACCTGAATGTGGCGTAGATGGCTTTTAAAAATTATCCGGGCGTATTCTACATGGAAAAAATGATAATGATCATTTATGGTTTTATGGTCAACTGATGAAACAACAACGATCCCATAAAATAGAAAGAAAGAGAGAGATTAACTTTTCGAAATGATACAATTCTAAAATCATATGTGAATTTTCTCTCAAGTCAAACAGATAATCATCATCAGCATTTAATTTGCTAAACAAGAAACAAATAAATAAACAAATTTATAATGATGATGATAATATAGAATCTTGATTATCTAAATGGATATATATCATATTTCAATGGTATATAAAAATTGTGTGAACTTACAAAAAAAATGATTAACTTATTATCTAATTCACAATACCAGATCATATTCACATACATACATCGATATAATCTCTTTGTTTTTTCTCACTTTTTGTCCATTGTCTAATTTTCTTGCATTTCTTTTTTTGTTATTATGATTATATTATGCTATAATTGTTTCAGTGTCTTAAAAATAAATATATTTACCCGAACCAATGATTGTCATCATCAATATAAAAATAAAATGTTCAAAATGTAAATTGGTTGATTGAAATTCAAATTTTTTTCTCTCCCATGCATTCTCAATGAGAAATAATAATTTTTCTCTCTCACAAAAAAAAACACATAGATGGATTGATTAGTCTTATGAAATGGAAAAAATTATTAATCTTTAATCAATAATTATGGCCTACAGATAAATAAATGAACATTAATCAACGAGGTTGGTGCAATGATAAATTTAGAAAATCGATTAGTTATCAATCAATTATTTATTCAAAATGAAAAGAAAATATTAATGTTTGATTTGCATCGATAAACAAAAAAAACCTGTAGCCTAAAAAACTGATCGTATCCCAACAGCAACAACAATGACAACGATGAAATCGATTCATCAATCAATTAATTTCTCGATTGTATTCAAACAGCTTTTTTTCCGTCACAGGATACACATTGAACAATCATCATATATATCAAAAAAATGGTGCTAGCCATATGTCATACAATTATTATTATCATCATCGAATCTTCGGGAGATGAAAAATACTAACAGTGTTTGGCGCTTGTAACAAGACAAACAAATCGAAAATAACCACAACACAACAGGCCTATTATATTTCAAATATTTATATGCAAAAAAAAAATTTAAAAATTTTTCCCTCAAGAAAACAATGAAATAATTAAAAGTCATCACTATCATCATCATCATCTAAATATTAGTCGAAACAAAAATGATTCACCTGATGGTGATGATGATGCGACATTATCATCATCATCGTCATTCAATTGTGGTAAATAATAATTAGTCCTAGTCAATGTGTAATGAAAAAACTTTTCATAATTTTCAGCAAAGAAAAAAACATATATGAATATTTGACCTTTTTTCTTGGGCTCAATATATACGAAAAATGAAATGAAAAGACGAAAAAATCGAATGATTCGACCTTACAACAAAATTCATATTTCGTCAAGTTTTTTTTATTAGCACTTTTTTCATTACATATTTTGTTGTCTTGTTTCAAGTGAAAATTACGCAAAGAAAAAAAGAAGATTTCAAATAAAATAAACATTTTCATATTCAGGATTCACAATTCATTGATCATACATACATGTGATCATCATCTTAGGTCAAAAGGATATATCGATATTGATCATTATATCGTTTTCTCTTTCTTATTTAGTGTGAATTACAATTTGTTTTCAATTTCACTTTACAACTTTCTTTCCATTTCTCTCTTATTTTTTGCTCACTAAACATTTTTCAATTTCAATGATTATTTTTGAGAGCTATTGGTTTGTTATTGATTAATATCAATCGATTATTACTACATACCTAATAGGAATCTTTGTTTAGAATTTAATGTTACAAATGCATTCTTATCAAGTACAGCTTCAGAACATGATAATGGTACAAATGCAACACCAATATGTCGCCGTTTAGTGTTTTTACTATTATTACCACTGCGTAATTGTGTACGATGCTGAAGACGAACAGCTGCCCATAATAAAACATTACTCAATGGTGTTATCACTTTGGTCACAATGGTCGATGATGGTTCCGATAGATTTGAGGTAGTATCATTATTACAATCATCAACATTATTAGCCGATGATGAGCCGGCACGTGAATGAATCATGTCATGATGATGTGAAGAAGTTGCTTTTGTTGCTGATGATGGTGGTGGTGGCGATGTAAAACGATCTTTTTCGGCAATAAATATACCATGTGTAGATAGATCGGCTACTTGATTCAATGTCAACAATGAACGATTAATTAATGAACGACGAAATATTGCACAATAAAGATCCAGTAATGGTTTTTGATATGCACCAATACCATTATCTGGTTTATGTGAACGTATATCACAGTTATTACAACCAAGATATTGTACACGATAACGATGATTATGATCGTTGTCGATGTTACTTTTATTCCTCGAAAATAATGATGAAGATGATGATGATGAAATGAAACTATTTTTACTACTAAATCCACCCGATAATAATGATCGTCCATCAATCGAACGATTTGTTGTTGTTTGTGTTCGATTTGATGTTGTTCGTAAATATCGTGATGGATTAACATTACTATTGTTGGATAATGAATCATGATGTTGTCGATTATGATGATGATTACGACGACGATGATGATGATGAAGATTTTGGATCAAATCATTTGATTGTAATGAAGACGATTGCGGTGGTTGTTGTGTTGGTGGTGGTGGAAGAGAATTTTCCTGTTCAATATTGTTACAGTACAGGATCGATGTGGATAACATGATTGCAGTAGAAAAACACATGTACAGGTGTTAAATTTTTTGTCAAAAGAAAAAAAAATTATCAACTACAACAAATTGAATTTCTCCTGTTCATTATGGGCCAAAGAAATAAACGAAAAAAAATGGAACAACTTTTCAGCGGACAAAAAAATACAAAACAACAAGGACAAGAGATGATAAAAACTTTAAAAGATAATGATGAAAATCATCATCATCATTTGATGGCCAATGATTTAAACAAAAAAAAAAAATTCAATCGGCAAAATGTTCATTGTCGTGTGTGTGTGTGTGTGCGTTCATCATATAATGGCCTAATGAATGTTACTGTTGTATGGATCTCCTTGTATCCTGGAGAAAAAAAACGATGATTTTTTTCATTTTTTACATTTCGTTTTTCTCTTTTTCTCTTTGTAGCTAATTGCAATGTCTATGTATCCCTCTCTCCATCATCATCATCATCATCTGCATCTTGATTGGACATTATTTTTTCATCATTACAGACAGCTTGTTTGTTTGCCAGATTGTTTTTTTTTATTTCTCCATCAATTGGAGAAAAAGAGAATGAAAAAGAAAGGAAAGAGAAAGATGCTGCAACAAATGAGGTGTGTTCATTGTGTGTTTATTTTTTTCCAGAATGATGAAAAGCAAGATTTTCATAGATAATGATGATGACTGATAACCATCTTCAACAGAGTATAATGAGGTACTCATGTACCTAAGATAGATGATTCTTTTGGTTTTCTGGACCGAGATTCAAAAATTTTTCCCTTTCTCTATAATTCAACTTCTTTCTAGGAAAATTTCCCATAACCATGTGGTCAAAGTGAAGAGAACGTCGTAATTTCCTGTAATGAACAAACAATCAATTTGAAAAAAAACAGAAATATTACTATGTGGACTAATTATGTGTTCATGTGATGATGATGTTGTAGGCGAATGTCCATCATGTGTATTTGTTCTCTGTTGAATTATTTTTCAATTGATCTAAATCCTGTTTTATTATCATTTCCCTAAAATTCATTCAATTCAATTCAATTCAATATGATGAGATATTGTTCATCAAAAAGTTTATTCTTTATTATCATCATCATCATCATTATTTTGCAATCTGAAAAAGAAAAAGAAAAATTGAAACACAGACAAACAGAAAAATATGATGTCAGTAATCATCATCAACAATTCAGTAATGAAAATGTGATGACTTTTTTCATTGTTGCCAACATCTTCATAAGAATTTTGGTTTTTCTTTAATTTTGATTAGAAAGTATTAAATGATGATGATGATGATGATGATGAGACCCAGAAAAGTCCCACGCAAATGTTTTTTTTTATTGTTTAACTTCTGAGAAAAAAAATAAATAAATTTTTACAGCAGACCATTTTTTTCTTTCGTTTGCCACCATTTATTAATTATAATAATTATCATCATCATCATCATTCATTCAACTTGATGATGATGATTCCTTAAAAATGGTTTTGTTTGTTTACCAAGTTTCATCTTTAACAATAACAACTTGATGAACTATTTTCATCATCATCATCATCATTGTTATTGCCTAGTGACCCATATATACAATTTTTTAGATTTCGATATTTAAAATCAGCAATCAATGAGGAAAAAATGTCAATGATGATGATGAAGAAGATAAAAGAATTTAGCCATGAAAATCTTTTCTTGATGATGATGAACATCAACACTGTGCGAATGATGAAATATGAAAAAATGGTCGATTAGATTACAAGGAAAAAAATTTAGTATTCCAAATGTGAATGCAAAGATGATGAAATAGAATAGATAAAAAAAATACAAATGAATTAAGTCATTCAGTGGTGTTTCTGTTTCCAGAGAAAAAAAAGTCAATTATTTACGAAGAAAGCGAAAAAATAGATTGGGAAAAAAATGGTTTCATTTTCTGTAACAGTAAATTATCCATATCACATCATCATTTTCAGATTCAATCAACAACAACATATTCATATGGATTTTAAACGCACATCTCATGATTAAAAACAAAAAGATTAGATGTGTCCATGAAGGTTTTTTTCATTTCATTTTTTTCTATTCATCAGATATTATCATGATAAAAGATGATTATGATAATGTGTCTGATCAAGTGTGATGCTTGATGATATTCACCTGTAAAACAAAGAAAAAAACTTTCAGTGTCTTTTTTGATCTAAATTTAAAACATAATTTTCTTCAAGAAAAAAGAAAAAAATGATGGAGATTGTGGACAATTCGCTACACACACACACACATATGAACATTAATTGTCTGTGAAAAGTTGACTGTTTTGAATTTTTCATTCTCCACACACACTTGACAATGATTGGCTTGAATCTGTCGTTTACGTAAACGATTTTTTCATCATCATAAGAACAACAATAAAAAACTTTTGGAAGAAAAAAAAACATAATAAACACCAAAAAAGCGATAGACTATCAACAACAACAACAAAATAAAAAAATCAAACAGAATTATGTCCATTCTGAACTAATTTTTGTTCTTTTTCAAATTGGCTGTTGATCCAAATGGAACAGCAACAGCAGTCAAAATCAAAACAAAAAAAACTAAATTATTCACGGCTGATACTTTAAGACTAGTGATATTCAACACAACGCAACATCATCATCATCGAAATATAGCCTACATGGAAATCGCTTGGCAATTTTTTTTAAATTACTCGTTTGTAAATGTGAAGGAAATTCAATTACAACAACAACAACAACAACAACAACAACGATCGAATTGAATAAGCATCCTACAAAAAAAAAAAAAAATTTCTGTCTTTTGACATCCTAACAAACAAACAAACAAACAAATATAATGAATATAAAGAAATCGATTGAAAATGTAAAAGAAAACAAAAAAAAACTTAATTTTATCGAATCAAATTGAAAAACAAACACAGCGTACACAAACATTGATCAATATCATTTTTCATTTCAGCCATTATCTACTGCTACTATTCATATAATATAAATTGAATTGAAAATGAAAAAAATGATGATAATAAATAAATTTTACCTGATAAATAAATAACGAAAAAAAATCAAAATTAAAAGTTTTTTCATTTTCTTTGAACTATACATTGATCAATCAGTGATACACAACCACAGTGGACAAGACCACAAACAAACTAATCTCTTGTTCATGACCACCTACCTACACACACAAACATAAACAACAAATAGAAAGCGCAAACTAACGAACAAACGAAAAAAAAATAAAAAAACTAGATCATAACTGAATTATTCTTCACAATGAATGAAAATTTCATTTCATTTTCTATATGAATCACGAATCAATTGTATGTTTTTATAACTTGTCGTATACACAAACAAACATACAGAGATCATGATTATTTTTCTCTGATGATGTTTGACATATGTTTCAAATGTGTGTTCATGTTGTGTAATAATGTATAAACAACAAACACAGAGAAAGAGAGGAAAAAATTGATCGAAAATACAAGAAAAAAAGTGAAACATCCATAAAATGATGACGATGATGATGTAGGGATCCAAAAAATGGTTCCAAACAAAAAGAACAGAACAGAACAAAACAACAAATTCATTTTTTTTCTGATCGAAAAATCAATGGAATAAATTACAATTACAATTTGCTTAATTTTTTTTCGTCATCATTTTTTTGATTGTTACAATTTATCGAAGCGAAAAATCCAAAATAGTGGTGTTGCTCAACGATTAATGATGATGATGTTGTTGATAATTCAATAGTAACAAAATCTCAACAACAACAACAACATTATTATGCGAAACAAGATGCGGCAACATCGGTAATGATGATGATGGTGTGCAATATGGGCCAGGCTAGATTATTAGCAACAAAGAAAAAAACTAACTTCATAAAAAAAGTAGACAAAACAAAACATCATAATGTATTCCCTATTGGGATTTTTCTCATATCAAGTTTTATTAAAGTTAATTTTGATTTTTATTTCATACATTTCTATTATTAAAACAAACTTGAAACAAATAAACTCTCTCTCTTTCTCTCTCTTTTTTTTTCTTTATAGGTTGTTGCTGCTGTTCCCAAAAGTGTTTGTGAAATATAAATGAAATTTACGATTATAATGAATCTACCTGAATGAATGAATGAATGAGTTTGTTGTTTATATCGTTGAATAGGAATTTTTCGTTTCTTTTTTCTAATTTATCAATAATAAATCACAAAATGACCACCACTGTTGGTCATTTATGTGTTTTGCAAAATATAAAAATGGATTATTTATGCATCTAGGCCATATTGTAATAATAAGTATGTTGAATACGCTACAATGTGATATATTTGTGTGTGTGTGTGACTGATGCATTCCATAATTAATCGAATACATTCACATTTAATTAGGTTTTTTTGGGAAATTGAAAAGTTACAATTTCAACATCATGCAATGAAACAATTTACAGACACAAATCTTTGCTTCAAAATAAACGAGGAACAAAAAAAAACAATTCCGATTTCCAATCGAATCGATTGACCCGATGTTGATGATGATGATTTGAATAGAAAACTAATGACTCATTTAACGGCATTTGGTCATTGACACACAAACACACACACATTTACTGAGAGAAATGAAAAATAAAATGATTCAATTGAAATAACCAATACCAATAACCGAGGAGATTGAAATGAAAAGAAAAAAAATCAAATAATCATTCGACCTCTCACTCTTCTCGATTTGAGTCATAATCATTATATTTTTCAAGTTCTAAATAGATTGTTTACCTCTCTCGTTGATCAATGAATTGTTTTTTTAGTCTTGCAAAAACAAAAAATTACAAAATCTCTACAAATAATGACGATGACGATGATAAGGACATTAAATATCGATCAAATTTTTTTTGCAATTGAAACTTTTTCGAGACACACAAATAATGACTTTTGGATCATTTAAATTTCTTGTTTTGTTTTGAAACCAAGACAGCAGAGCAGAAACAAAATCAAAACGATTTGATTTTGTTTTTTTTTCACTGAAAAATAAGAATTTATAAATCGATTTAAATTCAAAATTAATCAGCAACAGAAAAATTATTCAATAATTATACAATGTGTTTAATTTGAATTTTGTTCCAAATGTGAAATAATAATAAAGACTTTGGTAGACAAAAAAAACACGTGTCATAGAGACACGCCTTAATATTGCGTTTTTTAACACAAAAATAATTTCCTTCCACATATGTTTGTGGATGTTGGCAAAGTATAGGGAAGGAAGTGGAAATAAACCACAGAAAAAAACAACCACAACCACCAACACGTTGAAATTTGATCAGATGATTAACTAGATAGTTCGGCATTTACCATCACTATCCCTAGACATGTATTAAATTTTTTTTTTTTCGTTTTCGTTGAATTTTAAAATTCAAAGACATAAATTGTCTAGAATGATTTTCCAAACAAAAAAAAACCAATTTCAAATGGTAATTTTAATCAACAGAAAAAAATGAAGGCTGATAATGATGATGTTCCAAAGTGAATATAAAAAAGTCTCTTTGAAAAATCATCAATTACAAGGCTAAATCATTCGGACTATCTTCACTACATGTGAATCAAGTATTTGGATTAGCAATGTGTGTGTGTGTGTGTGCGCGGGAAAAAAGGGTTATGTTAATATTGATAAAATTCAGAAGAAGAAAAACAAAAAACTTATTTGCATTTTGTTTATAATATCGAACAACATGGAGATAATTCACTTTTTTATAAGGACAAATTATCGTCATTATCATTACAATTGACAAGCCACACACAGAGGTTATTAATGGCATTTTATTTATTTATCTGTATCAAGCAACAAACAAAAGCCAACGCCAAAATTTATGTCTGTTTTTTTTTTTTCGCTTCACATTATATGATGATTATCATTAATAAATTTACCTCGAAAAAATACTGGCTCTAAAAATACTCGAAACTTGTTTTTTGATCGATTTTTTGTTTTGTTCATCGTTGATCTTCAATGGCAAAGTGAATATAATAATAATAATGAAAATACGAAGAGACTATTGACTTTTTTGAAAATCAAACAAATTCTATTGCGCTGCCATCTGACGATTGAGAATTGAAATATTTCGTTCAAGTTGTTAGAATATCAGCCGATAGAGAGCGACACTAACGTATCGTCATTATAATGATGATTGATGATGATGATAATGAAATGAAAATTGGACAAATTTTCAAAATTTAAAATGAGAATTATAAATCAAATTATATCAATCTATATACGAAACAAAAAAATCAATGGAAAAAAGCCGATGAATTTATTTTGAATTATTGTGAAACAAAAAAAAAATTTTTCCAAAAAAGGATGTACAGCGAATAGAAAAAAAACACAAATGAAAAACAAAAAAAATGCATCATCAATCAATTAAAAATTGTTGTCTTGTTTTCGTCTTGGTTACAAGCAAAAAAAAACTCCATCATAAATATCAATGTGTAGTGTTTGTGTTTGGTTATTTTTCAATTAAAAATATGAAAATTTTAAAAAATGCGAAAAAAAAGAACAGAAACAAACAATCAGAAAAAATTAAATGAAAAAGAAAAATGATTCCATCATCATCATTGACATTATTATTGTAATTCATCGAAAAAGAAACAAAAAAAATGTTTAATCCGAAATAGAAACATTTCGGCTTTTTTGTGTAAAAAAACGAGTGGGTTAAAATTTATTAAATAAAATTTGAATAATAAATAGGAACAATTATATTGTCGAATTAATCACAAAATTTCTGGTTTTTCAATTATAAAAAAAATTTTTCGTTTATTTTTCATAGACGTTTAATTGTAGCTGTTCGTTGTTGATAATGATAACCATTTGTTGGTAGGGGTGGCGGTGGTGGTGGTGGATTATTTGGTCCATAACCATTTTTTAGGCTTAAATTTGACATACGTGTTGCTAATGTATTCGGATCGATTGGACCATTTGCATCCATCATCATCATTGGACCACCATTATGATGACTATGGCCATTATTCAATGGAATTCTTCCATTACCATTTGTATGTTGATGTTGTTCATACGGTATTGATCCATTACCATTCATCATTTTTGGACCATTTGGAACTGGTTGACCAGCAGCCATAGCATCCGTTTGACTTTTTAGACTAACTGAACTATTATTATGTGATTCATTCTCACCATTTCGTCCACTGCCATTATTTGGTCCATTTTCAAATGCCAGATTCGAAAGACTATTTGATCGTGAACGATGTTCTTGTCGTATTGAATAAGAAAATGCTCTTTCATTAAGGTGACCTTTCTTTTTGTATATTCCGCCGCCACCACCACCACCTCCGGTAGATGCATTACTATAATTTCCGGATGATAATTGCATTTCCGATGGTGATATGATTGATTCATCAGGATCACCGATTTCTTCAGGTGGATATCCATATGGTCGAGGTTGATAATAATCACCGGGTGGTGGTTCTTCAATATAAAGCTGACCATTACCATTCGTCATGATCTGTTGCTGTTGTGGATGTGGTGGTTGTTGGTTTTTATTCTTTTTAGCATTCTTTTTCTCTTTTTTTGCTGCTTTTTTCATCAATGCTTTTTGTTTTTCCAATTCTTTCAATTCTTTACGACTCAATGTTGGAATCAAGGTACATGGAACCATTTGTGGATGTGTTGGACCCATAAACATTGGTCCTGGTGGTCCTGGGTGATGATGAATTGGCATAGGCATTGGCGGTAACCCATTAACAGTACGTCCTTCAAAATAAATTGGTTCTCCATGTGGTGTTACAGGTCGAAGTGTTCCATTTGGTGATGGTACAGCAGGCATATAGATTGGTTCATCAAAATGACTTGATGGGGGTGGAGGTGGTGGTGGGGGCAACATATGTCCATTTTCATTTATCATATTAGATGTTGGTGGTGGTGGTGGTGGGGGAGGTAGTGATGGTATTCGACTTTTACGACTATCGATTGTTCCGTAATATGATGGTCCCATAGGTGGAGCATAGATTGGCATTGGACCAGGATGAATACCATGTGGTGGAAGTGGTGGTGGGGGACCATAGATAAATTGTGGAGGTGGTGGTGGTGGTGCCGGATAACCGTTAGCCGTAACGAATGGAAGTGGGAAATCCTTATATTTATGTTTACGTTTAAGTGTACTTTCTTTCTTTAGTACTTTTTTCAATTCTTTTTTTGATAATGTTGCAAACATCACAGGTTGTGGTTGTGGCGGTAGAGGTGGTGGTGGTAGGCCATGAGCAAATGGTAACGGTATTTGTCGTGAACGCGATTTTTTATGACTTTTTAATGCAGCTAATGAAATGAATGAACGAACGCTACGTAATGTTCCGGTCGGTGGTATACCGTAGATTGGCTCTGGAAGACCCATCATTGGTAGACCATGATGAAGATGAGGTGGTAGTGGTGGTGGTGGTAATTGTGGATGATGATGATGATGATGATGTTCGGCAGCCATCGAATGACTAACTAACGAAGCTACCGATGGTGTACGTTGTTGTTGTTTTTGTCGTGATATGGATCTTGTTTCACCAAAACCATTTGTTTCATCGGGCGAACCTGTTGATGATCCAGCAGAATTTTTTTGCCACGTATTAATTTTATCATCAATCAATGATTGTGAATCTAATGCTGATCCGATTGATCTTGAGCGTCGTCTATCCAATTGTTCATATGGACTTTCCAATTCAATCTGTTTAGCATGCATTGTATCAGCATAAGCATGGAAACAACAACGTACTAATGCATTAGCTGCTGCTTCTTTTTTACATATAAATGCATGACATTCCAGTACTTTAATACCGGATGTACGTCTCAAAATACAAGCGAATAATGGCGGATGTCCCATTTTCATTGGATCGATTGCAGAATTTTTTGAAAATGGACTATCTAATGGCAAAAATTTGGCTATTTTATTCGAATCATGTGATGAACCATTTTTTGTTGATGTTGTATCATTCGCTGGTACTGATACATAACGTACAGCAGCACAATAATGCAATGATTCAATTGGATGAAAACGTCGTATCGTATTGCCTTTATCATCAACATTTTCCACTAATATACCATTTGACCAAACTGAAAGCCATGAATCAATACCAGTGGCAATATGATCACGATCTGTATTCCAAAATACACCTTGTTCAGGATAAAGATCTCTCAAAGGTTCCTGGATTCCTTGTAATCCATCTTTAGTAATATGTGGTACAGCAGAACCAAGATATAGTACACGACAACGACAAATGGGTGTTGTTTCATTATCAGTATCATCACCACCACCATTAACCGATTTAGCCATTATTGTCTATTGTTGTTGTTTCGGTGATTTATGTTGATTCTCCTGAAAAGGATAATGATGCTGATGATGATTCTAAATATGGACGCCAATAAACATAAAAAACAGGTACACCATACACACACAATGAGAGAGAAAGAGAGAGACAGATGAAGGATGTCAAACCAGATGCAAGATTTTATTTCGTGCCGATAAAAAACAACAACCAAATTTAAAGGCACGATGAATTGAAGAAAAAAATTAATAAACAGATGCTTGGAATGGCAAAACAAAACTGAAAAATTTCCCAGCCGTCACAATATGACGACAATATCATCAATTGAATGGGTTGAATTCAATCACTGCTATGATGATGATGATGATTGTCCATAGATAATGCACACATTATTTTAGACACGAAACATACACACAATTTGATGTCATATGATGATGATGATGATCAGGATGACTTATTCGGAATAAAAAATTTTTTCTTTTTCGATGAGAAGATTTACAAAGTATATGATGGTAATCATCCTCATCATCATTGTTATTAACATTATCATAAGGCCATCATTTCGTCTATGGAATGAATTTTTTACAAGATATACAATCAATCGAATGATCGAAAAATCAAAAGCCAAATGAATGGAATTGGATGTGACATTAAATGTATTTCATCATTTTGTTTTTGTCGTCGTCGTAGTCTTGTATTTGCAGATCAAAGAGCTCAAAAAATAAATTCAACAAGAAAAAACAAGATCAGATTCAACAAGTGTTTCTCATGATGATGTTTGTACTTAAGAATGTATTCGTGTGTGTGTGTGTTTAATAAACTAAAATTTAGCTTGCCTACACGCACACACACTTCCACAATAACAGGCAGGATTCAACAAAACATAGAAACAAAAACAAAAACAAAGCTACGAAAAAAATGATGATGATGCTGAAAATATGTACGAATCAGTTCAAAGAAAGAGATGTTTACGATTTTTATTTTCTGGAACACAAGAAAATAAAAACTAGAGAAAGAGCAAAACTTTCAAAAATTCAACAGAGAGAAACAAAAAAAAACTTAAGAATGATGCTTAGGCTGCTTGATGAAAAAGAGAATGATTAGAAAAAAATGATAAGTTTGAAAATGATGGACACAATATATACACATACACACACACAGACAGAAGAAAAGAAAAACCCAAGTCAAATTTTTATATGATGATGATGATGATGATGATGGCCGCCATTCATTTATTATAATGACGAGTCCAGTTACTCTTTTGACATTTTTTTTCAATGATGAAAAAAATTATGATGAAACGTATCAACAACAACAACAACAAAAAAAATCAAAACTAAAGTCAAAACTTTATATGGGGAAATGAAATGAATAAAAAAATATCAAACAAACAAACAAGACGGAGAAGAAATTCACGAAAAATTCATAGCAGCATATGATATATAGGAAGAAGAGAAAAAAATTTTCAAGTTTTTTCGCCTCGATTATTATTATTATTATTTTAACCAATAATAAGTTGCACAACATAGGCTTCGTCGTTGTTATTTTTTTTCTCTGAATCTACCTGTGTTCAAAGTTTTATTCGTCTTCTCCACAACAACAGCAACAAGTTATAGACAATTTAATGAATCTACAATGATCAAAACTACTACCACTACCACCACCATCATCATCAACATCAACATGGCCACCTGTATCATAATCATCATCATAAAAGCTACGAATTTCATACACAAAAAAAAATTCAGAACACAGATAGGGAATGGAAACCATTGGTCCAAACACACACACACAAAAGAAAGAGAAAAATATTATGAATGACAAGCTAGCTTAGTTTTAAACTATATTCAATAGGCGAATGAGAAAAATTTGGTTACCTGAGATACAGTCAAAGAAAAGAATTCAACGATTTAAACCAACCAACCATCGGTATTGGTGGTGGTCTTGGTCGACGTCGTCGTCGTCGCGGTTGCCAATCAATGAATTTTCAAGGAAAAAATAAAAACCTTAAACTTTAAAGACAAGGTAAGAAAGAAAAACTGGCAGCAACATGACAAGTAGAAAAAAGCCGAATCTTCTGGTCTCTTGTTTTCCCAAAAGAAAGCCGGTTTTCTCGCTTCAAAAATAGATAGGAAGATAGAAATCCTGATGATCCAGGTGATGATGATGATCATCATCATCATCTTACTAAACACACATCTCTTTCTTTCGACTTATATATCATCATCATTATAATTTGATGGTGGCTTCATTTTGAGAACCCTCGAATCACAACTACTACCACCATCATTATCATCATCAAAGTTGATCTGTCAAAAAATTCTGCCACTACCAATGATTAGTTCACCTGTCCTTGTTCTGTCTATGATGATTATTATTAAAAGATGAGCAAATATCGACATGTATGAAAGTTAAACGACCGACCGGATTCCAATGATGTTTCGAATAGCCATACGTTAGAGGTCGGTCTATCAATCTAGAATAGAAGAATAGAAGCTGGCCAACCTCGTTTGAATTTTCGACGATGATGGTTCTCTTCTCTCTCTCTCTCTCTCTTTCTTACTTGCTTTTCATCCAAAACGAATCGATCATTCGATGAGGAATTTTTAAGTCAAACTTGAGGGTACCATACACACAAGAAACGCATAAAATATATGGACTAATATAACAAACTGAAAAAATTAATGACAAGAAGCCCCAGAGAGATTGTAGCCTGTAGGCTATGAGACAAACAAAAATATAGTTTTTCCATAGAAAAAAACAGAAAATTCCACCATTTTAGATTAGAAAGCCGCTATAATGAACTAGATAGCCAACAAACAAACGCGATATATTATCTTGTTGTTTAGGCTAGTTGGCCAAACGAACAAAAAAAAACAGAAAAAATTGCTAGCTATAGATAGCTAATCACTTGTTCTTGTTAAGCTACAATATTCTTCATTATTATTCATTAAATTCAACAAATTCAAAAAAATAAAACATTATTACTTGGATACGAAACATTTATTTGGACACGCACTTATCAAATTATTGACATGCTAAGCTATAGTTCATCATCATCATCATCATCATATCAGTCGCGTAAAAGTGTTTGGATTTGGATTCAACAGAAGAAGAAAAAATCGGATTTCGATTATGCTAAAAAAATTTGAAAATCCAGAAAAAAAGATCGATTTAAAAGATAATCATGTTATGAATGAAAAGGGAAAGAAAAAAAACAAGAAAATGCTAAGGATAAAATGGTTGATTAAAAAAATATATCTGACCCAATCAAATTGGACATTTCGTATCGATCATCATCATTTGGTGTCAAGAAGAAAGAAATACGATAATAAAATGATGATGAACGACTACTACTACTACTACTACTACCAACTATGGAAAAAAAATATTCCACACACACGCATACATGAATTTCCAGTTTGTCGAAAAAATCCACCAATGATGATTTAAGCATCCATTCATTCGAACGAACCATTCATTTATTCATTCATTACAAACTAAGGATTATTTTACAACAGAAAAAAAAACTATGATGGTTAGTCAATTGAATTTGAAATTTTTTTTTCATTTTTTTTCACAAAAGTCAAATAGGTCGAATCACAATTACATGATGATGATAATGGATGAATTGAATATTATGAACAACAACATTAATAAATACACATGAAAGTTGGTAAAATATGACCCACTCTCTAACGGCTATGTAACCGGCATATAACTGGTGGTGGTTTTTGCACACAATCTTTTTTCAAAAACAAAATTTAATCAATTGAATTGCAAATTATTTATGTTTCTCTCTCTCTCTCTTTCTATATATCAAAAAATCACATAAACCAATGGATTATTTCATCAAATTGGTCATTTTTATAAACTTAAAATAATTTAAATCAAGCTCCTGATTCGACAATTTTATGTTAATTTTTTTCGTTTTTTTTAATGTTTTTATAGTTTTTAAATATAGATAAATATGATTGAACGGTTTTTTTTCGAATTCAGGTTTATCATCATCAACATCAGATTATAATTGAATGAACAAGTTAAGATGGAACGAAAAAAATTGGAAAAACATCCAGAACACTTATATAACACCTTGAAAATAAATCTATGCTGCTGATTTGCAGTGATTGGCAATGATGATAAGAGGACATGATGACTACTATATGGAAAAAAGCTATCTATGATTTGGCCGGTTTTTTCGGTTTATTTTACTTGATTACTTGACCTTAAACATCTCTCTTTTTCTCTTGCGTTTTTTTATCATTATTCGTAATTTAATTTCATACTGATCATCATCATCGACCGGAATATAAATTAGAAACCAACCGACCAACCAGCCATCATTGCTGAACCTATCCTTACCTAAACCAATCGAATATCTTTCTTTTTTTTTGAGAGGAGGGATAAAAACGTTATTTATCGTAGAAATAGAAAAAAAACTTGGCCTCAATGGCTTATCACAAGCTTTGGATTTGAAATTTTTTTTTCTTCTCGCTATAGATTTATATATGACCAGCACAAATCTAAATACACATCAAACAGGCAAAACTATCTTATCAATATTATCCACAATATCCACAATATTGATTAAATGTATAAACAACACAACAACAACAACATTTTGTCGTATAAAAATTTTTCTAGTTTTTCGTTTTTCACCATATTAATCATGGTTATTTTTTTTCTTTTTTACGTTTTATATTTAGCATCATAATCATCATCTATAGATGAATTGATTGAGTGAAATAGAGAGAGAGAGAAAAAAAAAAAAAAATTTATCGATCTTATGATGCGAAAAAAAATCAGAAATTTTTTTTGGATTGATACATTGACCTGCGCGCTTGCAATTTATTTTATCAAACACAACCGACTGACCAACTTAAATTTCATCTTTAATCTTTAATCAAAAATTAAATCTATACCAAAATTAATCTTTCCCATTCCTAATCGTATTATTCATCAGCATTTTCAATTCAATGACCATGATGAGGCTGAAATAAAAATTTTAATGAATGAAAAGGTAAAAAAAGAAAAGATTTTATTTTTGATGAGATACTTTTTTTTTGCATACCAATCATGTTATTGTATTGGATGGAATGAAAACAAAATATATTTCTTGTCATTTTATGAAATAAAAAAGATTGAATTTGAATCATCATCATTATCATACATTTAGATTTATAAATACATTCAAATTCAAATGATGAAAAAAAATTTCAAAATGTTTCAAAATGGCTACGTTTTTCAAGTCATTTCTCCCATCAACATTACCATCGAACCATCACTAATCGACTAATTAATTTCTTTCTTACTGTTGTTTATATGAGAAAAGACTTATTAGTTGTTTGGTTTCAAAACACACGATAATAGATATTGTAATTTTTCATGGTTGAATGAAACCAATGAGATGATAGGGTTATCGAATGTGTCGGTTAATTGTGGCTATTATCCACCCAAACATTATTATTATTATTATGTATCCGGGTGGTCGTTCTCATTTTTTCGTTATTGCTTGGTATATCGGTGTCAACCAGTATTGTTGTGATTGACATCAAAAAAAAAAAAAAAAATTATTCGGGTTATCATACAATGCCATCATGATGACCAGAAAAAAAACCGAATAAAAAAAGTATAATGTAACTGATCGATAATCGGAAATTACACAGAAATTCGATTTAAAATCATATGAGAATAAACAACTCATTTTCCTGTTGTTGTCACAATCGATTTATGTTTTTTTGTCTCATGAAAACAATAATGCAAACACACAAAGACAATTTGCTTTCATTTTTCAAAATAAAATATACGAAGTGATTGAAATTTTCATATTACAAATTTTATTCAATTTCTCTTCAAGATAAAAAAAGTGATCAATCATTCTTTTCTTGAATGTGAAAACAAAAAAAAATTGTATCATCATGATGAATAAATCATTTTTTTCCAAAAAAATCAATCAAAACTAACCGGAAACGACAAAACAATATGGAAAAATAGTCAAATCAATTAATCGGAAGGATT